ATGATGTCTGCCTATACTTAATGGAGAACTAGAACTTTCGTTTGCAAAATCCAGCAGACTTTCGTGGCTGAAACTGATTTAAACACATCCTCACATCAAATGCTTTTTCTAATCCCACCCCCACCCCCTTTGCATTTTAGTTAAGGGACCAATCAAGATATTTGTTGGACAAAGGATTGTAGTTTATCAAGGCTACTGTGCAAATCTTTCTATGCATAACCTAACTGAAGAGAAGAGTTGGATGGCTGGACTCCAGTTCCTGCAAATCGAATGTTACGGAAAAAAAAAAATCAGTTCTGCTTTTCTAATTATGTTAATTTGTACTTTTTTCGATGTTCAGAATTATGTGCTCCACATTTTAATACTTGAATAAAAAGTTATGTTTGGGTTTGTCAAGGATGTTCAATATGGGTCCTAAAATAAAGTGTGTATGTTTGATGCTGCAGAGTCCCAAGAAAGTGATGATTCATTGGGAAGTATTACAGCTAAGGTACTTTAGAAGAATTCCCTCTACTTCAATACAGATATAGTTAGAATCCTTGTAAGGTAGTTTTCATAGAGCTTACTATATAACCTAGTTTTCATGTCGATCAGTAGTTTCTCATGGGCTATCACAAAAATGGCAGAGCTACTAACCCACTAAAGAACAATGCTTATTTAATAAAAAGATGCAGAAAACAATCAAGTATTTGCTTTACACTTCTGTCTGCCTGGTCATTTAGAGACTTGGAAGCAGCTTAGCAGGTTTTGCTCAGCTATTCATATGCCTCACTGCTTCTCCAGGGGCCTGTTTCAGAAAGGAGGTTAAGTGAAAACTCTGAGTTTGTTAACCCTGAAATGAGGGAAACTCTGGGTTTTCTGTTTCAGAAAGGGAGGTAAGTTAAACCTGAGAAAGCAGAGTAAGTCAAGCCCGTTTCTGAAAGAGAGGTAACTTATACTCAGAGTCAGTTACCACGGCAATTTACTCTGTGAACCTAACCTGGTCAGGAGCAGGTTTTCTTCAGAAAATCCGGAGTTTATTTTGGTCTCCTCCCCTTTTTTAAAGAGGAAGTGGTGTTTAAACACCTCATTGATTCTTTGGGGACATACAGTATTCATTGCACACATTTCAGTCACGTAGAGCGCATCAAAGGGAATGAAATGGCATGTCCTTTTATGGATGATCCTGTTTGTAAAGCCAGGTAGCTACTCTACCCCCATGATGTGCTCAAGGCTTACCTGCTTGAAGTATGTTTTTATATTTCATTTTCAGCTGCTGCCGTGTTCTTTTGATGCCTGCAGGATTGCACCTATCCATGAAAACTAAATTAGGTTTAATAAAATACTGTTCTTCCAGTTTCACCTCTGATATTATAACAGTTGGGTAAGTTACTCTAAAATAGTTCTTAATTACTAACTACAAATTTTATCTTCAACAAGTCTAATTAGATTAATGTATTAATTACTGTCTCTAGAAAGTATTGGTCTAATTACTAATTTGTTTTACTTACTTATTAATTACTTTCTAAATCCCAAATCAACCTCAACCACTTGAACAATACAAGGAGAGACAAGAAACTGCACTTCTAATGCTTTCAAATAAACAATATTCAATTGCATGAATTAATCTTAAATTGACCAAAGTGTGTAACTAGAGGGAGAAAGTTCAAATCAAAATATACCTTTTAAAATTTGATATTAAATCCACTATTGTTTTATAGTCTTTAATTTAATTACAGTATTTATATGACTTAAGTAACTTAATTCATTACACCCAACACTTTATAAAAGTAATTAAAATGTAAACTTACACATTGACTCGAGCAGCTATTTTCACCCAAGCTAACTCTCTCTCCTTCGCCGCTGCAGCCGTGTTGCTTTTTTTTTTTTAAATACATGTTCAAATTCTGCATATGCTTGCATAAGCACATCCAGTTCTGCTGGTGAGAAATATGCACACCTTTTTTTGTCTGACGCTGTTGCCATGGTGACTCGTAATATCTGTGCTCCATTGATAATGGCTTTTTATAGTTGTGGTGCACGCGCTTAACTCAGACTCAGTCAATTTAGAGTTGATTGAACTAACTCATTTCAGCTGTTCTGAAACCCAAAACTCAGAGTTTCCAATCTCAGGATAAGTCAACTCAGAGTTCAAGTTTTAACTCAGAGTTGGTTAAACTTCCTTATTGAAACAGGCCCCAGGTTGGATTTGGAACTGGTTTGGATATGATGAGCATTGTACCTTGAAGAAAATTCCTGGATAATAGTGTGCTGCAGTATTCAGAGAGAAATGTTGATAAAAACGAAATCATATATTAAAAGAGTAGAAGTGTTGATAGAAACGAAATTCCCCAACAAATGGAGTTTCTGGGGAAGGAGAAATCATGAGGAGCTGATCAGCCAATCTGAAACAAGCTTTAGAAAAGGTTTGACAATATCTCATTACACGACAAAGAAAAATTATTAGTTGTTTTTTTTCAAGAATTTATTAGAATGGAAACAAAATATCAGTAAGCTAACTGATTATGAAATACTATATCTTAAATAAGGGAGTTATCACATTCAGTTTAAACATCTAATTATTTTATTAGATAAAAGACTTGCATGCCAGACTTCAACACAATATTTAACATTAAAAGTTACTACTAATCTACTGCTATGACTTTTGGAATCTACATAAAATGAAAATTTACATATGACAAATTTTGATATTTGTGTCCTGCATTTACAGTAAGATAATCAGCTAATGTAATCTTTCTGCTTTGCCGTTACAAAACACATACACACACCTCGCCCTGAGGAAACCTGTGAAAGGGCAAAGATTTTCTTACTACACTAATTTTGAAAATAACCATTTTTTTTATTCATTTTTCTTGACCCAGATGACTTGGTCAATTATAGACCTATATCCAATCTTTATTTCTTATCTAAAATTTAGAGCTCTAAAGCCAGAGTTTCAGTCTGGCTTTAGAGCTCACCATAGCACTGAAACAGCTCTGGTGAAAGTCACTAATGATATCCTCATGGCCTCCGATAATGGACTTGTATCTGTGCTTGTCCTGTTGGATCTCAGTGCTGCATTTGATACAGGTGATCATAATATTATTTTAAAACGACTTGAATATTTTGTAGGAATTAAAGGAACAACACTAGACCGGTTTAAATGTTATCTATCTGATAGTTTTCAATTTGTTCATCTTAATAACAAATCTTTCTCATGCTCCAGGGTTACTTGTGGAATACCTCAGGGATCAGTGCTAGCACCAATTCTATTTACTATGTATATGCTCCCAATCTGCAGAATTGTTAGACAGCATGGGATTAATTTCCACTTTTATGCTGATAATACTCAGCTATATCTGTCTATGAATCCAGATAAAATTAACCCATTACTTAGATTACAGGCATGTCTTGAAAACACAAAAATCTGGATGACTCTTAACTTTCTCCTTCTGAATGCAGACAGAACAGAAATTACAGTCTTTGGACAAGTCTTTGAAAAATATGCTGTCCTAAACTATAATAAGCCCCTTCATTTGGATGGGATTAAACAGATTTCAGATGATAAAGTAAAGAATCTTGGAGTTATTTTTGATCAGGACCTGTCATTTAAATCCCATATCAAAGAGATTTCTAGAATTTCCTTCTTTCATCTGTGAAATATTGCAAAAATTAGAAATATCCTGTCCAGGGCTGATGCTGAGAAACTAGTCCATGCATTTGTTACATCAAGGTTGGACTATTGTAATTCTTTATTATCAGGAAGTCCACTAACTGTAGTTAAAAACCTTCAGCTTTTAAAATTAAAAAGAGAGATCTTATCTCTCCTATCATAGCTTCTCTATATTGGCTTCCTGTTAAAAACAGAAAACAATTTAAAATCCTCCTTCTCACATATTAAGCCTTAAATAGCCAAGCTCCATCTTATATCAGATATCTGATCGTTCCTAACAGAGCACTTCGCTCTCAATCTGCAGGTTTACTTGTGGTTCCTAGAATTTCTAAAAGCAGAATGGGAGGCAGATATTTTAGTTATCAGGCTCCTCTCCTGTGGAACCAACTACCAGTTTTAGTCTGTGAGGCAGACACCCTGTCTACTTTTTAAGTTAGGCTTAAAACTTTTCTTTTGGATAAAGGCTATAGTAAGAGTGGCTCAGGTTATCCTGAGCTATCTCTATAGTTATGCAGCTATAAGCTTAGACGGCTTAAAGACATAGGGACATATAACCCTTTTCATCATTCTGCTTCATTCTCTCTCTATTCTCCCACTCTGCAGAATCTGTTGGTTCAATCTCTAACATTCTGCTCTCTGAATTCTGACTTTTTTCTCAGAATTTTGACTTTAATCTCAGAATTCTGACTTTTTTCTCAGAATTCTGATTTTAATCTCAGAATTATGAATGAATTCTGACAGCTAACAAACATGTTAGCATCAAGCCGTTGCCATGTCTGTTTTAAAGACTAAACTAGCTCTCTTGTTTTAATCACCTTCTGCCCTTCCATTAATTAAATAGCATCTTTGTGTTAAATAGCCTAATTCCATAAATTTCCACCAATGTGTTACTGGCCCTCCTAAACAACTCACATCTTTGTCAGTGAAGCTGTGTGCTCCCACATCTCATCGTTCATGGTGCCCATCTACATTAAGATCCAAAATTCTGAGATTAAAGTCAGATTTCTGAGATTAAATCAGAAATCTGAGATTAAAGTCAAAATTCTGATTTTTTTTTCTCATATTATACTGAAATAAAATATAAAAATCAGTTAACTTTTTTTTTTTAAATTTCAGGGGCCCTAATCCTCTTCCGTAGGATACAGATACCATTTCTTTATTGCAGATAGTAAAAATCATAGATATCCATATTATTATGGATATCTATGGTAAAAATCAACATGGACAAGAAAGTAAAGTCAGATTAACAAAAAAATCCAACCAATCAGAAACGAGCTTCTCATCCATTTCCGATCACATGACCTGTGCTTCAGCCAGTAAAAATGAATTACACACCCATTCCTCTACGTCACAGGTCTGAAGCATATGACCCCATAGGAAGTATCAGGAAGCAGGCACACTGAATGTAAAACATGGAAAACCGGGCAAACAACACCCTGTCCGACGAAAGTGCGGTGAACTGCCCCATTTGCTTGGAGAAGATTCAGAGAAGGAAAACTCTTAGCTGTCAGCACTCTTTTTGCTCGGTGTGCATCGACTCTGTTTTCAGGCTTAAGCCCGCATGTCCGCTATGCAACACCTTCCACGGAGTTTACATGGGGACCCAGCCACACGGTGTGATGGAGGTGACCAAAAGCATCATGAAGCTGCCAGGCTTCGACAACTGCGGCTCTATCGTCATTCATTACATTTTTCCAGCTGGGGTACAAGGGGTAAGAATGGTGGCTTCTTCAGACTGTGTCAACTGATATGTTGCTCATTGTTTGGAACTCATAATTGTCCACAAGGGGGCAGTGTTTCATTCATAGGATAGAGTCCCTTTTAGAATCTAGCAAAAGCTTTCTCTTTTTAAAAGCTTTCTCTTTGCTTTGCCTCTGGCTTAAAAATGGGTATTTTACTACTTTACAGGGCTAAGATTATAAAATAAATCAATAAAATAGCATAATGAAAAACATCTGTTATAAAAACAAGCTGTGCACTGTGTTCAATTGAAGGTTGAAAATCAGCCTAAATTTAAACATTGATAAAAATGAGGTAGTCATTGTATCAGAAACAGAAGTGGGTAGTAACAGGGGCGGATTAAGGAAATTTGGGGCCCCAGGCAAAAAAAGGCATGGGGCCCCCTGAATTGAAAAGACAACACATAAAACAGACCCATTATACAGATACAGAATTTCATGTTAAATTGTATGATTTATAAATAACCTTTTTTTTCTTTTCTTTCTTTCTTTTTTTTTTAAGTGCTAGATGGGTCCGAAAAGTCTCTAAAGATAGAGACAAAAGCCTAAGTTGCTAAAACTGCTCTTTGCACCTTTTGTTTTTAAATGGTTTGCTGCTGTCTGTTTGGACCTTTCTGAACATGTGCACCAAATGGACAAACCCAGCATTTTATAAGCATTCTGATGGTATTTTAGAGAAAGGATTTTTGCCAAAAACATAATTAATGTGCACAAATGAGTAATAGCTATATTAACCATACATGTATTAGGAGGTCTATGGGGACCCCAGGAACTTGGGGCCCTAGGCAACTGCCTAGTTTTGCCTAATAGTAGATCCACCCCTGGTAGTAACTAGTTACATTTACTCAGTTAAATTCTCTTGAGTAACTTAAAAAAAATCATAGTTTTTAGGAATAGTTTAACAGTGTTGCACTTTTGACTTTTTAATTAGAAATATGATAAAGTATCACTACTCTAACTTGAGTAAAATATCTGGTTACTCTACTCCATCATTTGTGAGTAACTTCACTTAATGAAAACAAGCTTCTAAACAAATATGCACCATTCAGAAAAACTCTTTATTCTTTTTTTGTACTCATGGCTTATTGGTTGAATGTTTTTTACAATAACAATAAACAGTATTCTGTAATTAACCTATTTTTACATACCGCTACTGTTGTTTTTGCAAATTATATAAATAAAAAACAGTATTTTGAACAGTGTTCATTCACCTCACATTTTTATTGTGTAATTTCTGTAGGTTATATGTTTATTTTTATCTTATTCTTTGAAACCCCAGTATTTGTTTATTACTTAATTTAGTTTAATTTTACATCATTTAGTAAAGCATTTTTGGATTTATCTACCTCTTCTGAGGCTTTTCTTTTCTTCTCATACAATTTGTAGACACTTTTTTTCTTATGGCCCTCTGTCATTTTCAAAGAACTGTGGTGAATAAGTTGAGCTTCAGTGACTGAAATTGTAGCTCACCAAAGATATATGTCTGAAAGTGCACATGCGCAGAAAAAGATAGCTAATGGGATAAGCACGTAGAACGGCCTTATGAAACATATCACCAGAATGATGGACAATTAGGAGGACCACTTGTTTAGATGATCCACCCGGATATAAAAGATCGTCCTCTATACCTTTAAATCATTTATTATTATCATGGGTAGTAAGTAGATCAGTTACTTAGTGCTTGAGTAGCCTTTTAACCAAATACTGTTGAGTATTTTCTTAAAAGGATGCTCTTTACTTTTTACTGTAGTACGCGTGCCGTGCAGAAAATAATCTGATGAATAATGATGCATTCAAAGTGTGTATGAAAAATAAAACTCAGGGAAATGGATGCAGTTGGCTTAATGTCATCATGTAAATTTGTACTCGATGGTTGCAGTCGAGTCTTTTTAACTACCGTATTTTCACGACCATAAGGCGCACCGGACTAAAAGGCGCACTCCCAGTTATGTGTCCCATTTCTGTATTTAACACACACATAAGGCGCACCGGACTATAGGGCGCGTTTTTTATATACAGGTACATGTCCTCTACTACCTTTAAATACCTCTACTGCGTATTTAAAAATACAGCGGGGGCAAAACTGAGTATGACTGTGCTTTATTCATGTATTTATTACAAAGTATTAATCAAACCTGGCAGCTGGCCGTGAGACAGACACATCGCAGATGACAGAGCGCTGTGATCACTCCTAAATTAACTTAAAATCCTGAAACCTGCCGACGGAATATGTTCGCTTTTATTACCGGTATCCTGGTGCCTGCAGCTAAAATTATTTAGATGAAAAACACCTGCCAGCAGCCGCGGTGAACGAAAGGATTTCTCCTGTCGGCGCACCGCTGGTATGTGGGGGTCTGAGCGCCTCCGACAGAAATAGATAATCTGGATGAACTGACTGCAATTATTAAGTTTTCAGGTGGCCTTTCTCACTTAAAAACATATTAAAACTACTTTATTCCAACTGATCACAGCAAATATAGCTGCAAGATTTAGATTATTTAGATGAAAAAACACCTGCCAGCCACCGCGGTGAAGAGGAGGAGACCCGCCCAGAGGCTGCTGTTGAATTAAGTTTTCAGGTAGAAAAATAGAGCGGAAGCAAACCTGAGTATGATTGTGCTTTATTCATGTATTTATTACAAAGTATTAATCAAACCCATCAAAGTCATCATCCTCTGTTATCCTCAGCATTCCTCTGAATAAAACAGCTGCGCTAAATCAGACATGCCAGTTTCCCCTTCTTTGCTGTCAGAGTCACTTTCCGTGCAGCGCAGCTCCTCAGAAATAATGCCGGCTTTTGCGAAAGCTTGAACAACAGAGCCAGCAGACACAGTCCATCTACAATCCATCCGCAAACGGTGGCGTAACTTGCACGGCGCTGCCTTCCACTTATCCTGAAACTGTGGTCTCAGTCTGTCATCCATCGCTCCCACGCCGCTCGCAGCCTTACTGTGAACGGCCCGCTCCACACCGATGTCGAGCGGTGGAAGTTCCTTTGTCAGACCCCCCGGGATAACGGCGAGCACAGCGTTCATTTGATTCATCTTTTTTTCACATCGGCTGTGAAATGGGCACGCAGCGATGGTGATGCGTGGAAAAAAGCACCTGGTCTCCTCACATACACCTGCCTTTCATCATCTCCTCATTCATCCAGCCTTTTTCATTTGCGTTAATATCATATGTCATCAGAGCGCTGTGTCAGCTCCCAGATCTGCTTCTCTGATTGGTTGATGCGGCGCGTCCAGCAGCAAAACTTCAATTTTTCCATCTGAGCAGCAGCAGCGCGTTGGCGGTGCGTCAGATGCTTAAACGCTCCCGACGTGCTGCACCAAAACGCGCTGCAGGACCTTTTGCTGCACCTATATGCGCGTCAACCATTGACTTTGCATGTAAACTCGCTGCTTCTGCTGCACCTGCTGGGTCCGGTTCACACCGATGTCGAGCGGTTGAACAGCGAGCACAGCGTTAATTTGTTTCCCCATGTTTTTCACATCAGCTGTGAGATGGGCACGCATGGAGTTACATATTAACAGCGATGGTGAGGGGTGGAAAAAAAACACCTGGTCTCCTTACATTCAGCCACTCTTTCATCATCTCCTCAATGAGGTGGTCTCAAAAGTCGCAGTTACAACACACATAGGGCGCACCGCACCATAGGGCGCACCGCACATTTTGAGGAAAAAAAAAGACGTTTAAGTGCGCCTTATAGTCGTGAAAATACGGTATTCTGTGTGGGAAAACTCGGGATACATCGAGTATATTCAATATATTGCCCACCCCTACCTCCAGCCCATTTCAGCACAAGCTGCACTTTGTTTAAATGCTACATGCAATCCACGGACGTCTGTTCTTATGTTACATTTTTCATTATATTCTAAGTATGCTAATCATTTTCTTTCATTGCATGTCATTAACTTACAGCAGGTGAAAATAAGTATTGAACAAACCACAATTTTTCTCAGTAATTATAGTTCTAGAGGTGCTATTGACATGACATTTTCACCAGATGTCAGTAGAAATCTATACAATCCACACATACAAAGAAATCAAACCATAGATGTCCAGAAATGTAGTCATGTGTAATAAAGTGAAACGGCACAGGGAAAAAGTATTGAGCACACTTACTGAAATTTACTTAATGCTTTTTGCAGGAGGTTTTGTTGGCAATAACAGCTTCAAAATGCCTCCTGTATGGCTAAATTAGTCTCTTGCATTGCTCAGGCCCGTTCTTCCACACAAACAGTCTTCAAATCCTGAAGGGCTTGTGAGCCTCTTCTATAAACTCGGATCTTTAGTTCTTTCCATGGGTTTTCTATTGGATTCGAGTCAGGTGATTGGCTAAACCACGCTTTATTTTCTTCCTCTGAAACCAATTGATAGTTTCTTTGGCTGTGTGTTGTGGGTCATTGTTTTGCTGAAATGTCCATCCACCTTTATCTCCTTCATCGTGGCAGCAGATTTTTTATCAAGAATATCTTTCTACATTTTTAATTCATCCTTCCTTTATTTATTTGAAGTTTGCCGGTATCACATGCTGTAAAACAGACCCACGCCATGATGTTCTGATCTCTAAACTTCACTGTTGGTTTGGTGTATTTGGGGTGATGTGCAGTGCCATATGACCTCCAAACATGATGTGTATTATGGCATCCAAATAGTTCAACGTAGGTCTAATTTGACCAGACTATATTCTCCCAGCATTTCACAGGCTTGTCTAAATGTTGTGAAGCAGCTTCAAACTAGATTCAACATGCATTTTATTCAGAAATGGGGTCTTGTGTGGTGAGTGTGCATACAGCCCATGGCAGTTGAGTGCATTACTTATTGTTTTTTTGGAAACAATTTTACCTGCTAATTCCAGATCTTTCTGAAGCACTACACAAGTGATCTTTGGCTCTTAGATAACTCGTCTGATCGTTCTTTTCATTCCCCTGCCAAAAATCTTGTGAGGACCACCTGTTCGTGGTCAGTTTATGATGAAATTATGTTCTTTCCACTTTTGGATCATGGCCCCAACATTGCTCAATGCAACATTCAGAAGTTTAGAAATCCTTCTGTAACCAATGCCATAATTTATTGCAACAATAAAGTTGCAAAGGTCTTGAGAAAGCTCTTTACTTTTACCCATAGTGAGATGTTTCTCGTGAGAGACGCCTTTTATAGTCCATCATTTGGGACTGCACCAGCTGATATTAATTTGCACTGACAAAAGGCAGGATTGCTTTTGCACCTCACTTTTTTCACATGTTCAATAATTTTCCCTTGTGCCATTTCAGATTATTACACATAACTTCGTTTCTGGTCGTCTTTGGTTTGATTTCTTTGCATGAATGGTTAGCAACATCGGGTGGAAATCACGCCAATAGCATCTCTAGAAATACATTTAATGAGAAAAATGTTGGCATGTTCAATACTTATTTTACCCACTGCGTGTCTATGTGTTATATATCTATTTAGAGCTGTTTCTCTCAAGCCTCTTTCCCACTGAAAATAGCGTGTTAACCTGTCTTTTTCAAACAGGGATCGACAAGGGCTCCCTTCTCAGTTGCAAAAAAAAAACATTGTCTAACCCTAGCTGGCAAGCTGCGTGTTCTGTCTCCCTGCTACGTTGGCGTTGATCATGTCACCACTGCGACAGAAATTAAGAACGTAAAGAATGGAGACCAACATGTAAGGAAGCCAGGCCGTAGTGAGTCTTCTTTATAGTTTCGTTCTTTTGTCCCTCCGATTCCCGCCATGTTTATCAAATGTAAACAGAGGTTTTTTTTGGGCCTTGTTAGATCATACATGGCTGACACAGTGTCTTTATGCCCGTGCGTTGTGTTCAGTGGTGTCACGTAATTTAGTTAGTCAACCTGGCCGTGGTGTTCCCACAGCATGCTGATCAAAGCCGAGGCGTTTTTAACATGGGTCGCTTGCCATGTCTTTCGATACCAGGTAGACACGCCTCAGTAAGTTGCTCCCACTGCCACTAAAAGTTGATTGTTCCCAGGTTTAAACTGTTTTTTCTGCCCGTGTGAAAGGGGTATCAGAAAACTATCATCATGGCGACATAACTTTTGATTCAGCTATGGGGACATACAGACCAGATCAGGTTGTTAACCTTCTACCTGCTACTAACCCAGGTTTATGTGTGTTGGGGGAACACATACACCTAAAGAGAGAGAGCAATCAGTACACACCATGAACATGTTTCTTCCCTCTGGGTGATATACACTATAAGCTTCTTGCTAATGCAGCTAATTCTTTAAGCATGCGTGTGTATTTTGTAGTTGACTTTAGCTCTTAGCTTCTATCTGACATTTAATCGCACTACTTCCTGCTCACTCTTGTTTCTTCCATCAACACTTTTGAAAAAAGTCATCATCTTCATGTCACACCAGCTTTGGTGACCAAAGCCGCCTCAACAACCCACCACCTCTATGGAATTGGCTAACACCTTGCCTTTACTTTTTCTCTGGATTGCTTGAATTGTGTAATTGACAGATTAAAGCTAGAAATGATGAAATCGTTGGCCACTCCAGAGATTATCTGAAATAATGGGTTGGTTTAAAAGTACCTTCATTCATGCAGACTAAGTACTTTTATCTTTCTAAGCAATGCTGACTTTTTTAAAACATTATGTGGTTAGTTGGGGAATTTCAATCAAACAAATATAAAGAAATGCCAAAGTTGCCGACTTTTGTGCATCCAAAGTTCCTGATAAGGTGAAAGGTTCATGGATTCTTTGCATAAAGGCCAACGTCATACACTGCTGTTAAAAGGTGGGGACATTGGCTTAGGACTACTGAGGCAGATGAATCACTCTACTGCTGCACTCAAACATATTACCTGAAACTACATCGTAGGAAACAAAAAATGCATATCATCCCCCCCATCCTGATGTAGACAGACAAAGAATTGTTCTTTGGAAGAAAAAAAATCTTCTTTACTTCCTTACATATAAGAATAATTGATGAGACCAAGGTTGCACCAGGCGTAAAAACTGTATATATGTGGGTAAGTCGTATCAACTCAATTTGATGACCGCTTAATAAGAGAATACTGGAAAGGACACCAACATCTGAAAATATATTGGATATGGAAATAATTTCTCTGAATGTATATGGGTTGTAAAAATTTTTCTCAAGCTCAAAAATTTGTTTTGTTCTAATATTGATTTGTTTTATTTGCTTTGTTTCAGAAAGGTATAAAACAGCTTGTTGGGGGAAAAAAAGGGTGAGGGCAACATTTAATTTCTCCTTGGGATCCATAAAATAATTTTGAATGGAATTGAAACTCCGTCACAGTGTATTTCCACTGGAATAAACATGATATAATTCTTTGTTTATTCCTCCATTCAGAAATGGTATGTTCAGAGGTCATTGGGCAATAGGAAGTACACTGTTAACAGCCATTATTAGTCATTACAGGTAACATGCAAGTAGGAACAGGACAGACGACTGCATTTAGACTCTGCAGTTAAAACAAATTCATATTTTTGGAGGCACACTTCTTCTAGAACAAGAAAGCTTCATCTTTAAAGAGTCCAGACCAAAATCCAATGGCTTTTACCCCCCTTTCAAAGATCAAATCATTTCATAATTTAAGCACTGCATTTCACTAGCCGTTCCATCATAATTCAGTAACATGCTTTTCTTTTAGCGGCTTTTACTGCTCATTTTATTCCTGGAATCCATTGTATTTGTCAAAAAATAAAAAAGTATGTTACGGTTTGTTTCTCTGATGAAGAGGATGAAAATAGAGTTAATTGGCTTTGGTTCTGATGAGACAAACTGTTGTCTTTCTTCCAGCCTGAACACCCAAACCCGGGAGTGAGGTATAGCGGCACCTCCCGTGTTGCCTACCTGCCAGACTGCACAGAGGGACAGAAAGTCCTGAGGCTGCTGAGGAAAGCGTTCGACAGGAAACTCACGTTTACCATCGGGCGGTCGGCCACCACAGGACTGAACAACGTCATCACCTGGAACGACATTCACCATAAGACCAGCATAGATGGAGGCCCACAGCAGTAGGTGCCCCTTATTTTGATTGCAGACTGATATCTGTATAAAACAGTCACTCTGGAAACTTACTTAAACTTACTGGGATTATTACCTATTGCTACTAAACTGACTAATGGTCAGTATAAACAGAAGAACTAATATCTGATTAAGCAATATAAGGCCACGGATTTTCATGTTCAGTGTTCATGTTCATGAATTCTTGGTTGATATAAACGCTGACAGCTGAGTGCAAAATTCAGAAAGCTAAATAAAACCACATTTTAAAAACAGCAGCTGAAGCATCATTTCAGTACTCTTAACAGTTAGCTCAGTGAGGAAGATTGGACATTACAGGGAGCCTTGTTTCCAATGGAACATTTTTGTGTCTCTCTTTTCAGGGCAGAGTAGGGCTTTTCAGGTCCAGATAATCTGGATTCTTAAAGTTTTAATCTCCTCAGGCAGTGAGAGCCCTCCACACTTCTTCAGACCATCTTCTTGATTCAGGGTCTTTAATGCACACCACTATTTTTATCTAATGGTTTATTTCTTTATATTGCTGTCTTAGACTCGAAATTGTTACCTCAAATGAATCACTTACTGGGTAATGGCTCTCCATCAAACCCCTTCATAGTTCAGAATACTGCTGCCAGTATCAGTAAGTTTTACCCAAATAATTGATCAAACCATGTGGAACCCAAAGGAGAAAACTTCAGTTATTTTGAAGGATGCTTTCCAAGAGAGTCCAGCAAATACCAAGAGCAGTTCCTAATAAGGAGTCTGCTAAGGCATTGGGGTTCCAACACTGCAGAGCTAGCTAAAGAAGGGCACCCGGTGTGATTTATTATTATTATTATTTTTTTTTATATATATACCTGAGCAGAGCACTTTTAAAAATGGCCTGTTTGTGAAAAGAGGAGCCGCAAAGTTGCATGTTATTCAGAAAAAATGTCAAAACAGCTTAATATTCCTAGATATAAATAGAAATATCTACCCTGAGCCCTGTTACACTGATAGGGAACCATCTCGAGAGCATTAATGTGTGGGGTTCCCTCTGGGATGAAGACTGCTTTCGTCAGCATGATGTAGATATTTATCTCAAAGCAAATGGTATCAGTAAGTGCCTCAGGGAACAAAATGTTAAAAATTTTGACTGTATTGGTTAAAAACTCTCCAGACCTTAGATCAAATGAAAACCAATAGCTGGTTCTTTAATTTTACTTAATGTGTTTTTAACTAACAAAAGCAAAGCATTAAAGCTTGTGAAAAAAAACATTTCTGGTCTTAAGTGTTGATCAGCACTGAATAAGGAACTGTGGTTTCTCTGGTGCATCAGTGAAGCTATGTTTGGCACATTTAACAAGTCTGGTTAGGTGGGAAGCTATAGCTTTTAGACCAGAGGTCTTCAACAGGGGGTCCGCGACCCCTAGGGGTCCACGGAGGTACTGCATGGGGGTCGTGAAACTTTTGGTTGATTAGTCTTTTTTTTTTTTATATTCCCCCCTGCGGTTTTTTCCACTAATTTAAATGTCTTTAAATCCACATTAACATGAATTCGACACACTGTAGTAAACAGATAAATGGAGGCAGAAGATGTCTTTCAGTCATCAATGCACACATTAGCGACACACAGGAGCTCTTTCAAGCTCGGCACCGTTTCATTCACAACACCTGTCCCATCAACCAGGAATCAGAAATACTTTAATAATCCCAGGGTGAAATTACTCCATCTTTAATAGAGTGACTATAGGACCACTTCGATATAACACAATTTCATTCAATATATGTAATTAGGGGGTCCCTGCTCTATCTCGCCATCAGTTTGGGGGTCCTTGGCCTGGAAAAAGTTGAAAACCCCTGTTTTAGACAATAAGAATATAGCTATGTGTTTATTAAGTTCAGATACATGTATTTTAGTGTTACATTAACTATGAGGTGGATTTTCTGCAGCCCTAGAACTCCGAAAACCACTAAGATGTTGTCTCATCTCTATCCTTATTGTCTTCATCTTCTACAGCTTTGGCTATCCAGATCCAGGGTATCTGTTCAGGGTTCAAGAAGAGCTTCGACTCAAAGGCATAACAGAAGATGACTGATGTTGGAAGCCATCTTTTAGACGGCCTTATTGCTACTCCTGATAACATTTCCAGTTGCAAGCCTGCTCTTTTTCTCAGAAATGTTCACAACTGACATTTGTAAGAATTTTTTTTTTTTATATAAGTTTGCTAAAACCGAGGTAAAAGTTTTCCTAATTATTTTCTTCTGCTTTACTTTTGCATAATCTCCTTAAAGCCAAAAAAAACAGGAGAAGTTTGTTGATTTAATTTTATATCTGTTTTTTTAGTGTCTTTTATTAAAAAAAAAACATTCGGTACCATCCGCATGTATTGACACTTTAGGTAAAGATTTGCTAAAAGAGTTTAAAATAAATAGATTTTATGTTACATTATAATGAAACCTGCTTCCGTTTTGCTTTAAGATGTTTACTTGTAGCCATTTACTGACTAGAGGATCAACACCTCTTTCTAGCTTTAATAGCAGGCTTTGTTGTCTTTTTCATTTTGAAGAGTAATCCCAGATGCTTTTATTTATTTAATAAATGGTAAATGGCCAGTAGGCAATGCAGGTGAAGTGTCTTGCCCAAGAACACAATGACACTGAAAGCCGGAGCCGAGGCTTGAACCGACAATTCTCCAGTGATAATATATAAATGGAGAGTTATGGTTAGGCAAATATCTTTGGCAGTAAGATGTTAAATATACCTTTGATACTGTTTAATGTTGTTTTTCTTTGCCAATCATTCTTGCACATCCAAAGCCTTTAAGATGTCATAAATGTGTTGCTCTTTTCCAGCTCCCTCATTCTAAGTAGTTGGCAGACATCTTTCATTAATAGTATACATGAGCATAACATTTCCTGAAAAATATATTAAGCTAGATATAAATATTATTAAAAAATGTTTTTTGTTAAAAATATACCTTAATAAATATATGTATAAATAAAAGATTAGCGAATGGCATTGCATGAGTGTTGGCTAATAAATGTTTATGCATTTAGCAAAAGTAAATCTTTTTCAATTATGAGCATCAGTAGCATTTGTGCCTTATGCAATATTTGATAAATTAGTGCCTTAAGAAATATGAATCAAAAGAATGATTCATTTGTTTTGTAATAACCATCTGTCCCACTGTGCAGCTTAGGTACAGTTGGAAACTTTTTTTTTTTTATACCCTGCCTGCATTACCATTTTGGGTCACTAGATGGTGGTGTAATCCTGATAAAAAGCTGTTAGATACTGTTTTTATCATGTGAAGCCCAGCTTTCTCAAAGATTCCTGTCCAGTTATTAGGTCGGTCATTGAGACAGGGGGAAGTTGCTTTTTGTTTTTTTGTAATATGATGACGTTTGTAGTTGGTTTCTACCTTTGCTGCCTGATGATGTTTGAAAGCAGAATGTGATGCTGCTGTTCTTTAAATGCGAGAAGACCACATTTTTCTTGTATTAATTCTGTTCTGAATATATATATTTTTTTTGCAGCAGCTGAATGCATATAATGTACGGTGTTATGTAAATGTCTTTGTAAATATTGATCTTTTTCATGATTTGTCTCATCATTCGGTGTATTTTATCATTCTTTTATGCAATAGAACAACACAAAATAGCAGATAACTGAAGTAGAATGTTGATGATAGATGGTGTAAACATCTTTTGGGAGTGTACCATGTAGAGTGTATACTAAACATTAAATAGTATATTCCTATCTCAGTTTTAATTCTTTGTAAATCACATTTTACTTCAGCTGGAACTGTAATTCTGCTAGGATATCGCTCTACCAGCTTGCCACTTTAACAGATTGTTCTTATTTGGAAATATAGTTCAAACACGGAACTTTAAAAAAAAAAAAAAAAAGTGCAATAATTTTTTAAGTTGAGCACAGATTGTCAGCTGGGTTTAGGTCTGGACTTTGGGCCACTAACAAATAAATTCTTTGAGCTAAACGGTGTCAAACTGCTTTGATTGTGTGTTTATGGATTTTGTTCTTGGGGACAGTGAACCATTAACTCACAGGTTTCAGCCCATCCATCTTTCCGTGCATGAAGCGCAATTTGCTTTCCTGTTTATGTTGTTGAAAAATATCTCCACAATATGATGGTTCCATCAATGTTTGCATTAGTGGGGATGTTGTCTTTGTAGGTAGGTTAAAAAGAAATCATCTATATTTGCTGTATAACCTATGTGGCTCATGACAACCTTTAATGGGATTTATTTGGCTTTAATTTCCTCTTTTTTAAATGTTTTACTCTGGCAGATTTTGAAAGCTGGATTTGTGTAATGCAATATTAGTGGCTATGGAATTAAAAGATTCTTCCTCCTGCGCTGTACAGCTCTGCAGCTCCTTCAGAGTAAAGATCAAACTGCTGTGGTTCACAGTCTTATTACAGCTGTTCTTAAACAACCTCTGAGGCCCTTACAGAACAGCTGGATTTATGCACAGGTTTACAGACAGATGGCTTCTACCTGTTCAGTGTAAAGGTTGCTTAATGAACAAATTAGTTTTTGGGCTTTAAATAGTAAAATATTTGGATAAATGGTATTCTTTTTTTTTTAACCTATCACATAAAACCAAAATGAAACCCAAATCTCCTAATTCATCCCATCATCAACAACCAAGACACTAAGATAACTCCTTAGATAGAGTTGGAGATTATAGGCCACCCCATAGCGAGCTGTCCACAGTTCTTTATTCAGTGGCCTAATGGAAAGCCAAAGTTCAAAAACTGAAGAAAACAGCAGCGTCAACCTTTCTTCAGTTCTCAATGTGTGCACATATGAAGTAGCAAAGTTGGTCAGCGGCATGTCTATCTGATGGTAATTATGTGGCCTGTAGGATATGGGGGCATCTGTTAACCTCTAATCAAAGCAGGTTCCATCTGCCACCCCACCCTCCGCCGCCCCTCTTTCTGCAGTACTTGCTAATAATAATAATCATCTTTGAGGTGTTTATTTGAATTCTTTGTGTTTGAAAGACCTCTAACATTTGAACTTTACATGAAAATGCAACTTAATTGTAGAAGCTAATACATTTATAAAATGTATTTAACCTCAAACATCTTCCATTAGTGAAGCAGACTGTGTGACGAAAAGAAGAATCTAGAGAAAGTAGCACAGAGTGGAAGTGAAATATGTCAGAAATTACTTTCACTTCATTGAACCTAACCTACATTTGAACATGAAGCACTTCTTGTAAATTTTTCTGGCGGGTTTCTATTTGAAGATAGCTCTCTGATTCAATGCCCTCAGGGATTAAAATACACATGCACATTTTGTTTTTAAATTTCAAAGGACCAGGGTTGGCTTCTCTTTTGGGTTTAGGATTTTTAATGATCTGCACACAAAACAAGATTCAGACACATTCAGTCTTAGTTCAGCATTCTGCATGTGGGTCCAAAAGTTAGGCTCTGGTCTCATCAGAGCACACCAAAATCTTCCGCATGCCTGTAGTGCCTCCTTTGGTTGGAGTTTCAGTTGCCTTCATGGGTCCATAGGTGTCCAGTCTGTGGAGTAACTGCATAATATTTGGAAATAGTTTTTCCCTTTTAAGCTGTAGATCTATGCAGCTCCCCCAGACCTAGCAAAGGCCTTTGGCTGCTTCTGAGGATCATTGTTCAGCCATTTAAGTTCATTTTAAAAGCCATTTTCTGGGTCAAATAGCAACTAATTCGTTGTCAGATGATGGATTGAACAGAGTGCTGATAGGAAAAGCTGAGGATCTTGTTTTGAAATAGATTTTTGATTTAAAAAAACTTTGATACTGGTGTTTAGGTTGAATATTAATTTAATTGTATTTAAGCTTTGACTAACACCTGTTGGAATGAAGGCTATATTAAAACCTTACACGTTGTTTTTTCACTAATGTTCACTAACAAACATCTGAAACCTCTGATGAACAGCAGGGATTATACTTAGATGATAAACGCCATTGGACATTACTAGCCAATTAAGGGACTTCTGAAGCTGGTTTTATTTAACGCTGGCCAGTGTGGCCAATAGACTATTGGAAACCCTGAGAAAAGTTAGGTAAAAGGTAAAGATTTTTACTAAGGCTTTCCGCAAGAGAGGTAGTCTGATTATAATGGCAAATGACATGTACAACACAAAGATTTTTGTCTTACTTAAAACATTTTTACTCAATTTCAGTACACTTTCAGTAACCAAGACCAGGAATTTTTAAAAAAGTGACCACAAAAAAACAAGAAATTGTTTCTAATCTTAAAAAAAATGTCTAGATTGTTTTTAGCTTCAGATTATTAGAACTTTACTGAATTCCTGCAACATTTAGCCCTTATTTTCTACATAAAAAATTTTCATGTTTGGTTTAATGTGGAACAGGTAAAATAGAAGTCATTTTTGACATCCTAAATATGAAATTTTGGTGACCTATTTTTTGATTACTGTTTTGGCCAACTGGGCAAAAGGTTTGGACAACACTCCCAATAAAGGGGATGAATATATAAGCATACTGCAAGTTGCTGTATATTTTTTCCACAATTATGCAGTATGTTGTAGTACAAAATAAAAAAATCCCCCCAAAATGAACTGAATTTATAATTGAAAGAAAATTATGCAAAGGAATCCATTACTTTGCATCCCTCTCTGCAGGTATTTACCCCGCCATCAGGCCATCTGGTCCATCTGATAAGGGGCAAAAAATGCAGACAGACCTATGAATATGGACATCATTTAAATTATGCAGAGCAGTGATGTTTCATACATGCAGCAATGTAAATGTGTGAGAAACCTCCTCCTGAGAATGAAAAACCACCCAGGCTCTTGGTGTATGTTTAAAAGGGGGCCGTGGCTACATCCCCTCCTGCTTTACCTCTTTTTTCATTTACTTTCTCTCTCTGTTGTTTTTAACATTCTGCTGCTGCAGAGCAGTAAAAATTGAGTGTGCTGCTTCCGTTCTTCTGGGTGCGACCAGACGTCTCCCCCAGAGACGCTCCCTGGAAACACAGAGATGCCTGCGTACATCCATCAGATGAGAGGCACCTAGTGTTTTCTGTGCTGCAGTTGATAAGAAAATCATTATGTGACAATGCAGAGCTGTTGTTCTTGCACTCTCTCCCCACTGTGCTCCTTAATTAGAGTGTTTTGGCTGTTAGGGGTAGAACCCTGGCGCACCGCCTTCCTCTCTCTCTCTCTCTCTCTCTCTCTCTCTCTCTCTCTCTCTCTCTCTCTCTCTCTCTCTCTCTCTCTCTCTATCTCTGCCTACTCATCATGCTAAAGGCACCCAACTACAGTTAAACTACCTGTACACCAATTTTATTTTCCCCTCTCTCTAATGTTAATCAGCTCATGCAGATTTAACCTATTTCTCCATTCTGTTCAAGGTATTTTACTTTTCTACCTAGGATTTTTTTCCCCTGTAGTATCAAAGTTGACAGGAAAAAATGTTTTGAGTTTTTTTTTTTCTGTTATCAGTGCAGCATAAAGGAGAAGTCATGCAACACTAGGCTGTGCTAGTAAGAAATGTAGAAGAGGGTGCTGAAGAGGCATGTATCTCCATCCTCTCTCTTTGTGTGACAGAATGTCAGCCTACACCACTGACATGCTCATCCACTGAGCCTCAGGCTGTTTGCTTAAGAACAGCAAAGTGAAGGTGGGTGTGTGGGTGCATGCGCTCCTACTGCTTTTGTCTGTGCAGCCTTCCTTGCATACGCTGTATGGATATGCACGAGTGATTACATGAATGTGCAAGTCTGTGTTTGCTTCTGGTGATGAAGGAGTAGAACATTCTCCTCTATGAGTCATAGAAGGGGTTACACAGCTTTTTGCCCGCTTGATTTAGTCAAACAGACCCTCTGCTTTCTTTAGTAACCCTGACTGATTTACTGACTGGCCACCCTAAC